GTAATATGCTAATGATATGCTAAGGCCGCTCAACTGCTCGTTATGACATGCACTGACCACCAGGGGGCAGATGCTCTGACTGGTAGGTTAGCTTGCTGCTGGGGTCCAGCCGATTGGGTACTGAGGGAGACTGGCCAGACACACCCTGGAACCCTCCCGTGGTCCCACTCCACCTGGCCAACCTCCCGCGTCCCGCTCGTGCACCGGTGGGGTTCCTTGGTCTGGCCTGAGCCCTCTCGCAATCCGGGCTGAGGGACCAACCCCCCAACCCCCCAAGGGCGTGAATTTCGTGCACCGGGCCTCTAGTAATATATAGTTTGCTAACTTTTTCTTTTAATTGATTTTTTAGAGAGAGAGAAAGGGAGAGGGATAAAGAGATAGAAACATCAATGAGAGGACTTTGATCAGTTGCCTCCTGCATGCCCCCTACTGGAGATCAAGCCTGAGACCTGGGCATGTGCCCTGACGGGGAATCGAACCAGTGTTCTCTTGGTTTATGGGTCAATGCTCAACTATTGAGCCACACCAGCCAGGCTGGTAAGTTTTTTTAAGGACTATATGTGCAGTTATATATAGTAGTTATAAGTATGAGGCTGCCTCAGTTAACATCTAAACTGCATCCTTTATCAAGCTGTGTGATCTTAAAGACCTTATACCTCTGCACCTCAGTTGCCATGTCTATTAAATAGTGATAATAATAATTAAATGAGTTTTTACATGTAAAGAACAATGCATGCATGGTACCTATTCAATAAATGTTTGTAGTGGTGGTAGTATCAAACTTGCCATTATTGTATATTCTTTTTTAAAAATATGTTTTTATTGAATTTTAGAGAGAGGGGAAGGGAGAAGGAAAGAGGGAGAGAGAGAGAAAGAGAGAGAGAGAGAAACAGTGATCGGCTGCCTCCTGCATGCCCCCCTACTGGGGATCCAGCTCGCGACCCAGGCATATTTCCTGACCGGGAATCAAACCAGTGACCTCTCGGTGCATGGGCTGACGCTCAACCAACTGAGCCACACTAGCCAGGGCTTGTATGTTCTTATATTATGTGTAGAATTTCCTTGGAAGGATGTATAAAAAATGTAGGAGTATTCTTCTAGGATGGGAGGCAGGGGTCAGGAAAGTCACTTACTTTTCAATCTCTGTTACCGTTTTAGCTGTTGATTATGTTTTTTTAACCACATACATGCATTAGTTCTCAAAAACTGTTTCTAATGTTTAAGAAAGTTATGCCTACATATACATTTGATATTTGTATATAAGTGCTAATTATTTTTAAGATTTCTTTTAAACAGTTTAGATGACGTCAAGAAGTTTAATATCGCAGAATTTCTATGTGATATACTTGTCTTAGTTCTAATACTTCAAAAAATGCATAAGCTGATTTATAGATCTTGTTAAAGTTAAAAGTTTGCCTCTCAGAATAGAATCTTTGCATAGAGTTTTGGAGTTTGGGCTTTGCTTGATTTTCCAGGCTCCATGTAATCAAGTACAAAAAAGTTTATTGTTATAATATCACAGAATTTCTATGTGATGTACTTGTCTTAGTTCTAATACTTCAAAATAATGCATAAGCTGATTTGTAGATCTTGTTAAAGTTAGAAGTTTGCCTCTCAGAATAGAATCTTTGCGTAGAGTTTTGGAGTTTGGGCTTTGCTTGATTTTCTAGGCTCCATGTAATCAAGTACAAAAAAGTTTATTGTTAATTACAGTTGACATTCAATATTATTTTATATTAGTTTCAAGTGTACAGCATAGTGGTTAGACAATTAGATAATTAGGAAGTGAGCCCCCTGAAAATTCTAGTATACACTTGGCACCACATAGTTATTATGATGTTATTGACTATGTTCTCTAGGCTGTCCCTGTGACTATTTTTGCGACTACCAGTTTGTACTTCTTAATCCCTTCACCTTTTTCACCCACTCCTTCCCATCTGGCAATCCTCAGTTTGTTCTCTGTATCTATGAATCTATTTCTGTTTTGTTTGTTCATTTATTTTTTTCTTAGATTCCACATATACTAGTAAGTGAAATTATATGGCATTTGTCTTTCTCTGGCTTACTTGTTTCACTTAACATAATACCTTTAGATCCATCCATGTTGTCTCAAATGGTGAGATTTCATTCTTTTTTATGACCTAGTAATACTCTATTTTACTCATTATTTTATAATCAGGTAAGTGGCTAAACATTTTTAGTTCTATTCTAGAATCTCTTCATATAACTCTCCGGCTTGTAAAACTTATTCTTAGAAAGTTTGGTAGCTCATCAGTTATCAGTACAAGATTAAGGCACATATTCAGCATCACAAAGTTATGTCAGTATCTTCGTGGTAGAATTTCAGAGTATTTTATAAAAATGAGCTTAATAATTGGTAATTTGTTTATCTTGTGATGATTTTGTATTAACTTTAAATATATAATTAAATATGTTTTAATTTTTAGCTTTTTGCACTGACTCCTCCTCTCTCAGACTAAGTACTCTCCACATGGTCAAGAATCACATGGCTGTGCACTATAATAAAATCCTTTCAGCCAAAGGTAAAAATGTGCAACTGTGAACTTTCTGTACCCGATTTAAACCCTTGACTTCACTTCTAATTAGAGTAAATTCATAACAAAAATTCTTTCACTTAGCTAACGCTTGTGAGACTAATCCATGCTCTTGTGTGTAACAGTATTTTTATGCTAAGATAGTAGTCCATGTAATGAAATGTACCACAGTTTATTGATTTACTAGTTGGTGGACATTTGGATTATTTTAACTCCTTTTGACTATTAGGAATAAAGCGGCTATAAACATTCACATGTAATCTTTGAACATATGCTTCTATTCCACTGGATAAATTAATTTACTAGGAGTAGAACTGTGGGGTAATAAGGTAAATATATTTTAACTTTATAAGAAATTGCCAAACTGTTTTTCCAGAGTGACTACACCATTTCACTGGATAAATTAATTTACTAGGAGTGGAACTGTGGGTAAATATATTTTAACTTTATAAAAAATTGCCAAACTGTTTTTCCAGAGTGACTACACCATTTTGCATTTCGATCACTTCCATATCCTCACCAGCATTTCCAATTGGCGGCCCTTTATTGACTATTCTAGTGGATATTGATAGGGCTTTAGTTTATTTCCCAGTGCCTACTGATGTTGAACAACTTCTCTTGTGCTTATTTTCCATCTGTATATCTTCTTTGGTGAAATATCTGTTCAAATCTTTTGCCCATTTTTTAAAACAGGTTATTTGTCTTCTTAGTATTATTAAGTTGTGAGAGTTCTTTATATCTTAAACACAGGTCCTATATCAGATACTTGTTTTGCAAATATTTTATCTTAGTCAATAACTTGTCTTTTCATTTTGTCTTTAAAATTTTTATTTGAAATGATTTTAGACTTATAGAAAAGTTGCAAAAATAGTACATAGAGTCACAGAAACTCTTCATCCAGCTTTCCCCATGTTAAAATCTTATGTAATCATATTACAATTATTAAAACCAGGAAATTAATATTGATATAATACTATTAACTACAGACCTTATTTGAATTTCACCAGTTTTTCACTAATGTATTTTTTAAATTTTATTTTCTCATTTGAAGGGCTAAATTTTTAAAATTTTAGCTCATATCTTATGACATTTGTATTTTAAATAATTGAAAATCTAAACAATATTTTGTGACGTGAAGTCAAGATCAGCTTTTCAGAGAGAGGAAAGGAGAGGGAGAGAGAGAAACATTGATCGGCTGCCTCCTGCATCCCCATTACTGAGGATCGAGCCTGCAACCCTGGGCATGTGCCCTGACTGGGAATCAAACTGGAGATCTCTTGGTGTATGGGTCGACACTCAACCACTGAGCCACACTGACTGGGCGCTTATGTTTTTTATATTCTGTTTAAGAAATCTTTGCCTATTCTTAAGTCACTAAGATTTTCTTACGTGTTTTCTTCTAGAAGTATAAGTTTTAGCTCCTACATTTAAGTTTGTGACCTATTTTGAGTTAGTTTTTTTAGGTATGCTATAAGGATCAATTTTTTTTACCTATGAGTATCCAAATATAACTAGGACTGTTTGTTGAAGAGATCATTCTTTCTCTGTTGAATTACCTTAGCACTATTTGAGAGTTGACCATACAGAACTGGACTTATTCTTCAGTTCTGTTGTTCTATATGTGTGTCTTTATTACAATACCACACTGTCACATTACTATAGCATTACAGTCAGTCTTGGAGTCAGATAGTGTGGGCCCAGCAGTTTTGCTCTTTGTTCTTTCCTAGCTTTTTGGGGGGTTCCAGTTACAAGTATGTTACCAGTAAGAGCATGCTACAGGTGGGTTAGGTCAGTGATGCTCTCTGTGTGTTTGTTTCCAGCCTTTCTTTGCTTTGTTTTGTTTTGAATAGTACATATTGCTATGCTTTTAAGTTCACTCATGTTTTCTTTTGTAGTATCTAGTGAGCTGTTAATCCCAGCCAGTCTACTTTTTTATCAAGGATGTTATATTTGTTCATTTCTGAAAGTATCATAAAAGTTAAAATAAAAACTACAAGTTCTGGAACTTTTTGTGATTTCCACACATGATATTTTGTTATCATTTATAAATATTAAGAATATTATTAAATAACTGATTTTCTTCTTTCAGCTGTGGTAGACTGCTCAGTTCCACTCAGCATAGGTGCCTGCATCAAATGTAAGTAATTTTTGATATATTGCCTTTAAAAAATGTGTGGTAAACTACACATAACATAACTCCTATCTTTACCGTTTTTAAGTCTATGGTTCAATGGCATTGAGTACAGTCATATTGTGGTACAGCCATCGCCGCTGTCAATTTTCAGTACTCCTTTTATCTGCAAAATTGAAGCTCCATACACATTAAACAATAACTCTCCCCACAACCACCACTCTGTTTTCTGTCTTATGAATTTGTCTACTCTAAGTATCTTGTGTAGGTGAAATCATCCAGTTTTTTCCTTTTGTGACTGGCTTATTTCACTTAGCAAAATGTCCTCAAGGTTCATCCATGTTGTAAAATATGTCAGAATTTCCTTAATTTTTAAGGTTGAATAATATTCCAGTGTATGCATAGTACCATATTTTCTTTACACATTCAAGATACTTAGATTGTTTCCACCTTTTGCCTATCCAAGCTAATAAAAGAGAAACATGCAAATTGACCATCCCCCCGCTACCCCCCAAGCCACACCCACCAGCCAGTCAGAGCAACTATATGCAAATTAACCCAACCAAGATGGCGGCCAGCAGCCACGGAGCTGGAGCAACCAGGAGGCTTGGTTGCACCTGGTGATG